AACCCCCCCCCCCAGAGGTGCCACGGAAATAAGACCTGGCAGTCTGCTTCGTGAAGGTCACAGCCTTGGTGTGTGAGTGCTCACCATGAATTGGATTCAACTCAATGGAAACTGGCTTGGGATGGGGTTTAAATGATGATGATGAATGTTGTCATCTGCCATTCATTTAATACCTGGGCTTTACATCTGTTACTTTGATCAGAGCAGTGCAGTTGCGGCTGTGGTTTGTTGTTGAGTCGATCCTGACTCACGGTGATCCCGGGTGTACACTGTGCTCCAAGGGCAACAGATGGCCAGGCCTTTCTCCCGAGGTGCTGCTGGATGGATTGGAACTGCCAACCTCTCAGCGAGCAGCCGAGCACTTGACTCTCCATCATCATCTCTCCAACGGAAAATGGGAGACGAGCTTAGCAGAGTGAAGCACTGCTTCCTAACTTCAAGCCCCAAAGTGCAAATACATAGGTGACAAGGACATCATTGTGTCTCCCGTTCCAGGCCATACACAGAAAGAAAAATGGGGAGTTAATTGTCTGGTCGTGGAACTGGTGAGTGGTTGACTTCCACCACCACTGCAGTCGAGATGACTGCTCCATCTCCTGGACCTCCCTGGACCTCCAGGCCCTGGCAGAGACCTTTGACGTGGAGGTACTGCGATGAACAGGGAAGGCCGCATGGAAGGCTTGCCACCTTGGTGGGGAGCTAGCCCTGCGCACACATTTGTCAAAGCTCGGCTTGAGAACGGACGCATTTCCTCTTGTCAGCATAGCTTTGCTGGAACTTTCCTGACTCATGGTCCCAAACCTGACCAGACGATGGATGAGAGAGTTCTGTAGAAATGCCTGTTATTTCTACATACATACATATATGTATGTAGCATGTTATTTCTGTCAGCAGTGTCTCAAGGAAAGGTGGGTAGGCCCAGTCTCGCCCGTGTATAAGAGGTATCTGGGTGGTGTCCATGGCTAAGCATTCAGCTTCGAGAAGAAAGTGGGCAGTTTGAATTTACCCAGAATCTCCTGGGAATATGAGGTTGCCATGAGTTGGCATAACAGTGACGCCACAGCAACTAACAACAGCAAAGCATTTCTACGAGCCAGGCCATGCCAGGTGTGTGCCCATGAGGAAGCTGGAGCTTGGAGTGGTGAGTGACATGTCTCAGGTCTCCTTTGTCCATCATACCAACCTTGTTCCAAAGTCCGTGATCCTGGGCATTCTGCCTGCACTGTCTATACCGTCAGGAACCCGAGGAAGACCCCAGTGTGGGGAACGGAACTCCAGAGTGGAGAGGATGCCAGAAGTGATGCAAGGCCATGCAAGGGGGAAAATACTCTGGGATACATGTAGTTTCAAGCAAAGATGGAGCATAATCACCATAAGAGGAAATGAGGAGAAGCTGTTTATAAATAAATTGTTCAGGATTTGGGTTGGAAAGAAACCAGCACCTGAATTTAAGGCTCTTATATTAATATTTACTATATCATAATAGTGGGATTTTCACAAGGCACTCTGGGTTTAGACTGGGGAGGCCTTTGGATAAGAGCCTTCCAGAAGACAGCGGCACAAGAAGGGCAGCATTTCTGGCAATGGGAGGGGAGGGATTAGTGATGTTTTGGAGGATTCTCCCTATCTGCTGCTCTGCAAGCCACCGCAGCTTGGTCCTCAGAAGCTGTCATCTGGCATTTCCCATCCTCTGCTGTTGCCTACAACACTTTGCATCTGGCTAACCCCACTTCAGAAATCTTCATAATTCTTTGTGTCTGTGTGTGACGCTCCTGTCCTATGCACAACAGAACACTGAAATTTCATGCGTGAAACATCAACATTAATTTGCTAACAAATCAGCCAATTGATCAGGAGTCAGTGGGACAGCCTATTCCCGTCATCTGGTGCAATTTGAAGACTAGAGCTAGGAGCTGCTGAACTCTTTGGAAGGTCCTGCATCCACGTGCCTGGGCCTTGGTGCTGGGCAGACACAAACAGCTGGGTCTGGACCAGCAGGAGCTCCGTAAGGATTTCTTCTTATCCCTGTGTGGTTAGTCCACATGGTCACCCTGGGTGTTTTGAGATGCTTCACCATTGTTACCTGCCCTGAAGTTGGCCCAATCATAGGAATCCTGTGCTGAAAGGGATGAAACAGCCAGGTATTGCACTCCCCCTTGATCAGTTGTGGATCGGGCCCTTGTCTTCCATAGGCTTTTCAGTGGCTCATTTCTGGAAGGAGAACACCAGGCTTAGTACGGAGGCTCTGCTGAGACCTAGTTAGCAACGGAATTAGCACATAAGCTCCCACTGAGAGGTGGGCGGTGGCTGCACATGAGGTACATTAGCTGGACTCTCATGGGAAGTGGGAAGCTTGCTCCTGCACCTCCACTGATGACCTCCTCTTTCCCTCGGTTCATGGGCCTCAGGGTTTGAGAGAGGAGTGGCATTGCTTCTGTGACCTTGGGAAGTCACGCAGCATCTGCTCCACCATGTCCGGTTCTATAGACGTCAGTCACTCAGGCTCAACCATGTTCTGGGAAGAATTGAGACTCATTCTTTGTGGGGAAAGTGTCAGAATGTGCCAGGAGGATTTAAACACACCACGACTTAACCATCACCCCATAGAACTTTTTCTTGACCACAAAACCCACAAGAAAGACAAGGCCATTGCCAGCAAGTTGATCTGACTCACAGAAACCCCAAGCGTTACAAGAGCTTCACCATGGGGTCTTTTTAAATGTTTTTTGTCAGATGTACTTTACAAATCACCAAGTCTTTCTTCCGTGATGCTCCTTGGGGCTTTTGCACTGGCAACCTCTCGGTTTGTCCCCAAAAGAAAAACGACTGCTGTTGAGTTCATTCCAACTCAGAGTGACTGTATATAGGATTTCTGACACTGCGAAAGTATAGAAGCAGCCCTGTCAAGTGGTTGTTATTAATAACCCCATTCAACAATTAAGAAGCCAAGGCACAGAGAGGTTAAGTAGCTTGTCCAAGGTCACACAGTGAGGTACCCAGGCAGTCTAACTTGATAGCTCTCCTCTAAACCATCCACTCAGATCGAGAAGTTGGTTCTTGTGGTAAGCGATGAAGTCTGTCTCATGGGACCCAAGGCAGACCTGGGCGTTCTGACTCTTGACTGCCAGCCTGTTTGCAGTAGCTGGGGCGCCACCAGCATGCAGTGCAGTCATCCAGGATAGACCCAGCACACCACTGGAACCCTTGGGTCTCTGCTTTGTGGAGACAACCAGGAAAGGGACATAGAAAATAGCTTGGAAGCAAGAAGAGAAAACTAGTTCCTGGCACCCATTGGCGGGACTCATTAAGCAAATCTTTGTTTTCATAAAATAGCAGTGGCCTTACTTGTCAGACCAAGAGCCAGGGACACTGAGGGCAGCAGCATCATAAGAGAAGCCCCGGAGAGTTGCCCAGCAGGCCGCTTTCAGGCAACGGAGCTGAGAACAAACTCAGGGCATCTGTAAGGGATCTCTCTTCCCTTCTCCCATACTGCCCCGAGCATGCCTCACCCCAAGAATCAGTAACAGCTCCCTCTTGATTCCAGGGTCAAGTCTCAAATCTTAACTGGGTGCAAAGCCATCCATGATCACCCCAAATGGCCCTTCTGGCCTTATACCCATCTTCTTCCTTCCACAAGTCATGGGGTGTCTGCCACTGGGTGTCCCCAGACAGATCAAGGCCCTCTTTGCACACCTCTCTCTCCTTTTCTGTGCTCCCAGAAGCAGCACCTGGAGGCTGGGCAATTTCACAGTGGCTCTGACGATATGCAGACTGGCCACTGTGAGCAAGTTCCTTCGGGGTGAGAGGGAGAGGGCTGAGAGGACTTGACCCTGGAGCCTCTCAGTTCCCAGCCCTCATGTGACCCATCGAGAGCACCAGCAATCCCAACCGCGCACCATGGAGTCGATCCCTATCGATGCCATGTAGGGTGTCAGAGGCTGCAGATCGTCCTGAGAGCAGACAGCGTCACCTTTCCCCTGTGGAACGGCTGGTGGGTTTGAAATGCTGGGTTAGCAGTCCAACATCTACTCACTAGTAATAAACAGCACCACCAGGGAATCCTAAATTACTGTTCAACACATATTTCCCATCTTTACAGAACAAAATAATCATTTTTTTTTAATTTTATTTTGACTGGCTTACCGTTAAAGCTATCACATAAAGCCAGGGTTAGTAAATTTTCTTCCATAAAGGATTTTAGGCTTTGTGGTCAAAGAGCCAAACTATATTATACCAGGTAGGTAGGTATTTCCTGTAACCAAAGAGGCAGGAAATAGTCAAAACATAAGGATAACAATAGCAACAAGGCAGTCAAACTTGTGAGAGCCGGAACCTCTGACAGGTGGAGGCCTGTCGGAGGACGACTCACTTTTCACGAACACGTCCTAGAAAAGTGAAAAGACTGCCCCCGGTGGAAGGCGGAAAACTTGCACGATCCAGAACGACAGGGCAGTCCCATGGAGTTCCAGTTCTCACAGGTTTCACGGCAATAAGGAAAGCAGGTTAATCCTCAAGGCAGCCTATTAAGTCAAAACCTAAACCTATTGCTACCAAGTTGATTCTGACTCATCATAGCCTTATAGGACAGGGTAAAACTTTGGGTTTCCAAGACTATGAATCTTCAGATAACCTCGTCTTTCTCCTAAGGAATAGCTGATGGGTTTGAACCACCACTGTGTGGTTAGAAGTCTAATGCTTAACAAACCCGAGATCTGTAGAGCCTATTCTAAAACAAACAAGCCAAAACACCCTCACTGCCATTGAGTGGAAGCTGACTCGCTAAGTTCAGGAGAGACCTGCCCTTGTAACTCCTTTCAGGAGTAGAAAGTCCCATCGTTCTCCCAAAAGACTGTTAGCTCAGCGGTATTATCCCACTTTGCAGAGGAGAAAACTGAGGGACAGAGGTGTCGTAACTTGCCCAAGTTTACCCTGGAAGCAAGCACAGATGGAGGGACAGGGATTTGAACACGTGTCATAATGCTCTCCCGATGGTCCCCTAGGTCTGTGAGCTCTGCAAGGAGGCGGCCCCAGCCGACAGCCCGGTGGTCTACTCCGACAGGGCCGGCTACAGCAAGCAGTGGCATCCAGCCTGCTTTGTGTGCGCCAAGTGCTCCGAGCCTCTGGTGGACCTCATCTACTTCTGGAAGGGCGGTGCCCCCTGGTGTGGCCGTCATTACTGTGAGAGCCTGCGGCCCCGGTGCTCCGGCTGCGATGAGGTGAGTCACGTGGGGGTGACATGATGGGCGCTCCTAGTTCTGTGATGAGAACCCAGAGTCCAAAGGGGGTGAGGCAAAGGCTCAGGGCTCACTGCAAGTCTCTGTGTTCTCCTTTGCAAAGTGGAGCTGATAGTGTGGCCCCCCACCCCCGCCCCCGCACACACAATGGGGTTGTTGGGATGAGTCTGGAACCTTTTGCCAGTCCTAGCCCATTGCCTGGTGCTTAGTCCGTCCTGAGAAGAACTGTATAGAAGTCCAGCCACCAGCCAGATGTCCAAGGGCAGCCCCTGGCTCTGTGCTTCATAGTCATGTCACTTTAGGCTGTTTACCTAATTCTTCAGCCTCAGTTTTATCATTGAGAATGACAATAGTCCCCATCTCGCAAAGTTGGTATGAGGATAAATAAATAATTCCATGCAAGAAAGTGCTTGGCATAGCACCTGATCTAAAAAAAAAAAAAACTCTCAAACTCACTCCCATGGATTCGATCCCATAGGATGAGGAGAACTGCCCCTGTGGGTTTCCCAGACTGTAACTCGTTCTGGGAGTAGAAAGCCTCATCCTTCTCCTCCAGCAGCTGACCGGGTAAATAGTAACTAGTAGATGCTGCAAATTTCTGTTGTGTCGTGGTTATCAAGAGACCAGGCAGAAACAGCTAGACTATCGTTGGTGGGAGAAATACAATGTGGTGAGCTCCAGTAAAGATGGAAACTCTTGGAAACTCTGAATGAGGTTGCAATGAGTCCGGATCAGTTCAATCACAGTAAGTTAGTCTTATGAAAAGAATGACGTAGTTGGTTATGCTTTGGGGTACTAACCACAAAGTCAGCAGTTTAACCCCCCTGCCCCCACAACCACTCCAAGGGAGAAAGGTGAGATTTTCTACTCCTGTAAAGATTAACAGTCTTGGAAACGCTCAGAAGTTCTGCTCTGCCCTATAGGATCACTGTAAGTCAGCATCAACTCAACGGCAATGAGTGTGGGTTTGGTTATACTATACTGTACTGTACTGTACTATACTATACTGTACTGTACTATATACTGTACTGTACTATACTATACGAGCCCAAATATGCTCATGTTGAGCCCATCTGTCTCCTCCTTCTTCTATACATTAGTCTTCAAATGAAATTAAGGTCCTGCACTCAATTGCCTGATCAAATAACTGTGCTATCAGGCCATAATCAAAAGGAAGGAAGCTTTCAAAAGGGCTCTCAGCAGACCTTCCCGAAAACCTCCCTGTCCTGAGGACGGCATCTCCTCACAGCAAGAGCACTTCATCATTTCTTAAAGACTTGCCACAAGTCAGCAATGTGCTCCTTACTCTGCATCGTGCCATTTAAATGTCACAGGGACCCTCTGGGGAAAGAGGATCATTATCCTAGTGTTACATGTACATGAGTCAGTGATGAAAATATAGCCCTGACTTTGTCTCAGTCACTGTTCCAAGTCTGGCAGATGAATTAGCTCATGGAGTGTCCATAGAGCCCTCTGCAGATGGGCAATACCTGTATCTCCACTTGACAGAGGTGGAAGCTGAGGCACGGTAATTTAAGCTTAGTTTAATTCCTTAACCTTCATTGAGGTTTAGGAATTTGCCCAACGTGAAAACACTGGGAAGTGCTTAAATGAAAACTTACACTGGTTTCTGTTTGGTTCTGAAAGTGGAAGGTCCATTTAACCAGGACGTCTTCTGCTCTTTCTGAGAGGCATTCTGAGCCACCTCTGTTCCTTTTCATCAATATGTTGCAAAGGAATATCTCGACTTTCCAATCTCCAAGGAACCCCTTAAAGACTGACCACTGACAACACTTACTATTGGCCCTCGTTAGGTTGTCTTCACCAGGTAATA